GATCGTAGAGGGATTTGTACACCATGCCTGAGGAACTGCATTTAGTATTTTAAGTAATGGTGACCCTTTTAAAGTTTAAAGCTGGGGAGGAGCTGTGTTTTAATGACCAAATTAGCAGCATGTGGAATATAAATAGCCTTATGTTTTACCATGTGGAATCAGTCCATTAATAAATTCTTTTAGAGATTATTAGTTCAGTCAGTTTACTGAATCCTCTTAAACCCTGTTTGAGCAATTCATGTGAGAGAAAACAGATCTTTTGATGAAATCAGGAAATATGAGGACATTCTTTTTTGATTGATTGATTGATTGATTTTAGGTTAATATGAATGAGATTTCATGTTTGAATTGATTTTAAAAAATGATCTTATAATCAGTATTGTTTCACTAAGAGTGGGCCTTACCAAACTGATACCTTTTGGATTTTGTTGTTATTGTTTCTGGTGTTCTTTGCTTTCAGCCAAGATCCATCTGACAGCAGTGACACACCCACTTCTGAATCTGACTTGAATGTCTGGGAGTTCCACATCAGTATACTATTGCAACCATTTTTGAATTATCTTTAACAAAATTTTACTTGCCTGTGATATTAATGGTATTGTTTGATAATGTCCGCATTTTGTTGGATCGTTTTTCTTTGGAATGCACACAAATAGGGATTGCTTCCAGGTGGTTGACCAGGTAGCTGTCTTCCAAATTTCTTGGCATAAACAAGTGAGTGCCTCCAGCATTGCAACTGTTTTTTTGAAATGTCTCAATGGATATTTCCAAGAGCACCTGAAGTTTTGTTTCTTGCCAATTCCTTCTGTGCATGTTGATCTTCTTTCAGTATCATCAGTTCTTGATCATATGGCTACCTCTTGAAATGGTTGAGCATTGACTGATTCTTTTTGTTACAGTGAGTATGTGTATTCTATCCATCTTCTTTTAATGGTGCCTGCGTCATTATTTTACCCATAGAATCCTTCAATGTTGTAACTCCAGGTTTGAATTTTTTTTTGTTTCCCCCCATTTCTTTCAGCTCTGAGAAATGCCAAGCATGTTCTTCCCCTTTGATATTCTAGCTCCAGGTCTTTGCACATTTCATTATAATACTTTACTTTGTCTTTTTGAGCTGTCCTTTGAAATCTTCTATTCAGTTCTTTTATTTAATCAAATCTTCCATTTGTTTTAGCTACTCTCCATTCAAGAGCAAGTTTCAGTTTTTTTTTCCTGACATCCATTTTGGTCTTCTCGTCCTTTCCTATTTTTTTAATGACGTTTGCTTTCTTTAAGTATGATGTCCTTGATGTCATCCCTCAACTCATCTTGTCTTTGGTTAGTGTTCAGTGTGTCAAATCACTTCTTCATATGGTCTCTAAATTCAGGTGAGATATAACTACAGCTCTTGTGGACTTGTTTTAACTGTCTTCAGCTTCTACTTGAACTTGGCATATGAGCAATTGCTGGGCTATTCGAGTTGGCCCCTGGCCTTGTTCTGACTGATAATGAGCATCTCCATCATCTTTTCTCAAGATGTCGTTGGTTAGATTCCTGTGTTAGATTCTATCTGGTAAGGTCCATGTGTATCATCTCCTTTAGTATTGTTGAAAAAGTATTTGCAATGAATAAGTCACTGATCTTGCAAAATTCTGTCATGTACATGCCAGTGTCATTTCTGTCACCAAGACCATGATTTCCAACTACTCATGCTGCTGCTTTGTTTCCAGCTTTTGCATTCAAGTTACCAGTAATTATCAGTGCCTCTTGATTGCATGTGTGGTCAGTTTTGGACTGCAGAAGTTGGTAAAAATCTTCAATTTCTTCATTCTTGGCTTTAGTGCTTTTGTGTAAATTTGAATAATAGTAGTATTTACTGGTCTTTCTTGTAGATTATGGATATTATCCTGTCATTGACCTCATTGTATTTCAGGATAGATCTTTTTGACGATGAATGCAATCCCATCTTTTCAGTTTGTCATTTCTGGCATAGTAGACTATGTGATTGTCAGATTCAAAATGGCCAATACCAGTCCATTTCAGCTTACTAATGTCTAGGATAGGAGCTCTGGTAGCATAGTGGCTAAAGCACTTGACTGCTAACCAGAAGGCTGGAGGTTCAAACCCACCAGCCACTCCTCGGAAGGAAGGTTGGGCAATCCTACTTCCGTAGTGATACTGCCTCGGAAACCCAAGGAGGGGTCGCTATGAGTCGGGGCCGACTCGACGGCACATAACAACAACAACAACAACAAATTTATGACTGCTAACCAGAAGGCTGGCAGTTCAAACCCACCAGCTACTCCTCAGAAGGAAAGTTGGGCAATCTACTTCTGTAGTGATACTGCCTCAGAAACCCACGGAGGGGTCGCTATGAGTCGGGCGCGACTTGACGGCACATAACAACAACAGTTTTCCTAGACTCATACTTTGTACTTTTCATGTTCTAATTATTAATGGTTGTCTGCAGCTGTTTCTTTTCATTGTGAGTTGTGCCATATCACTTGAAGGTCCTGAAAGCTTTACTCCATCCACGTCATTAAGGTCCATTCTCCACTGTGAGGAGGCAGCTTTTCCCCAATTGTATTTCGAGTGCCTTGCGATCTGAGGGGCTCATCTTCCAGCACTATATCAGACAATATTTCATGACGTTTTCAAGAGGTGGCCGGATTTTTTAAAAGGAATATGGCCACATCCTTCTTCCTAGTTTGTTTTAGTCTGTAAGATCTGCTGAAAGCTGTTCACCATGGGTGACCCTGCTGGTATTTGAAGTACTGGTGGCATAGCTCCCAGTAGCATAGCAACACACAAGCATACAGGCCACCATGGTATGACAGAGTGACAGATGAGTGGTGGCTGTATTTAAAGTTATATTAAAATATGAGCTGTTTTTCCTTTTACCTTGTACCACGTGGCTAGTTGTTAGTTCTTCTTTTCTTCCTCTCTTCTATCTTCCTTGATTTTATTTTAAGTTTGAGGAGCTTATTTTAAGTTAGTCCCTTGAAGTTGAATATTATTCCTGTCTTTCAGGGTAAAGTTTGAAAAGATGGCTCTTTCCCTTGCCTTGCAAATAATAAAGTGATACACTTTAAAGCAATAATGATTTAGGTCCCTTTACTCTTAAATTTTGTAGCCACCATAAAAAAGCAACAACACAGTGCTTCTGATCTACCTTCGGAGGAGTGGCTGGCCGGTTTGGACCGCCAGCCTTCTGGTTAGCAGTCAAGTGCCTTAAGCGCTGTGCTACCAGAGCTCGTTATAAAATTACTGCTAGTTGAATAATAGTGTTGCATATCTTTAAAATGTTATATTTCCAGAACACCTCAGTTTAAATTGTATAATGTTTAATGAGATGACATAGTGCAGATTTTATTAATGAAAAGAGTAAGTGAATTTATTGATATTAAATTCTATATCCAGTACATAAAGTTTTATCTTCATTTATCTCAAGTTGTTAAGATATTTTAATAGCCGTAAAAACATTTTTTAATATATAGACACAGATTTCATAGTATTTGCTAATAACTTGTTAGGAGAGAATTTAGAATACATTCATGATGATACTTGACACATTGCTTGTTCTCTTTTATTTTTATTTATTGGTTTTTTTTTTTCCTCGTAGAATGTTTCTCCATCCCAGAGAGATGAAGTGATTCAGTGGCTGGCCAAACTCAAGTACCAATTCAATCTTTACCCAGAAACGTTTGCTCTGGCTAGCAGTCTTTTGGACAGGTTTTTAGCTACCGTAAAGGTATGTATTTTAAGATACAGTTACACCAGTGTCTTGTTTGAAGGTTTATATGCTAAACCAGGAGCTATTAGTGAACATTTTATGAAGTGGAAAGAAGTGGGAAAATTTCTAGAGAAGGTTGTACCATAAGAAGACTTGGTATCTTTTGCTTATTGCTGAAGTTTTCAGAAGTATTTCTCATTATGTTTTGTAATTTTCTTTCACTGTAAATATTATTGATAATATGTAGTTAACCTATAAGATTTTTAATCTGTTGATTTTAATCGAAAACCATATAGCATTAGCAGAATGTTTGGTCATTTAGTCATTTTTAACAATCGGTATACTAGATGTAGACAGAATAGAAAAGCATAAGCCTGTTGCATATTTTTCTCTGTCACTACTTATTTATTGAATATCTATAATGTGTGTTTCTCTGAACAATGTATAAATACTTTTTTGGAGCATACGTTTGGAATAGAACAAGATCAGCGTAAGAACTTTGGTATATTTTGGTTGAATGGCATTGTGCAAATACATTCATATGTTTTTTATTATCCCTCTTGGTATTAACATCTCATTGGTTATGTTATACACAGGTGTTTATAGTAGGCCCTCAACAGATTTAAGGCAGAAATTCGGCATTTATTTAATGGCAAGACATGAAAGAGTAGAAAAGCAAATTTAGTTGCAGTCATGTCTATAAATACGTTAAATGTGTTAACTGGGGGAACTTTAAATATAGTGCTGAGGATGCTATACTATTTCTTATTAGATATAACAAAATAGAAGCTAAAGAATTATGGAATGAGAAGATTTGGATAGCCATTCAGTCACCTTTTTATGTTTCAAACTCCAAGCCCACTCTGTCTAATTGATTCCAACTCATAGTGACCCTATAGGACAGAGTAGAAGTGCCCTATAGGATTCCAAGGTTGTAAATCTTTACAGACACAATTGCCATATCTTTCTCCTATGGAGAGGCTGGTGGGTTTGAACTACTAACCTTTTGGTTAGCCAGCTGAGTGCTTACCCATTGCACCACCAGGCCTCCAAGAGACTTGTTGTTGTTGTTATGTGCCTCGAGTCAGACCGACTCATAGCGACCCCTCCTTGGGATTTTGAGACTTAGGGTACCCTTAATTAAATGTTAGTAATAGCCTGCAATCTAGTTTATCTGAGATGCTTTTATCTCAGCATCCAGTCCCCTCTTCTTCCCCCCTGTATCCCTACCACAGATAATCTTTTTCACAGGTAATTTCAGAGAAACATGAGTTTAAGCTTAGTGTCTTTTCATGAGTTGCATATATTAAAAAATATTGCTGTTGTAGCTTCTATCATAAAAAAGATTCATACCAAGTTTACTGTTTTAAACAAATCTGGGGAAGTTTATGGGAATAATGAGAATTTTGTCAAATCTCGTTTCTTCATATTTCATATTTATCAGGTATGTTTTATCACATCAGGTACCTTTAATTAGAGATGGAAGATACTCTACAAAGGGATAGTTCATTTATATTAAAACACTCTAAAATGTATTCATAGCTTAAATAAAGGCTTTTAAAGGTTCACAACAGTGAATGGAGTCTCAATACTAGCTGTGCAAAAGAAACCTGTTGCAGCTCTTTAGGATTATAAAACCTAGGCTCTATCCCAGACCTTCTGAATCTCCAGGAGGTAAGAACTGTTTGTTTAAAAAAATATATCTCACATTTGATGTGTGAGTCTTTTTATTATTAAATTTATTGTTGGTACTTTGATTTAAAAGGAGCTCTGGTGGTGTAGTGGATAAGGCATTTGGCTGCTAACCAGAAGGTCAGCAGTTCAAACCCACCAGCTGCTCTATGGAAGGAAGAAGGGGTAGTCTACTTCCATAAAGCTTTACAGCCTCGGAAACCCAGTGAGGTTGCTGTGAGTCAGAATCGATTCATTGGCAGTGATTTTTTGTTTTTTTTCTTTTATGGGGTGGAGGTTAAGGGTTATATTGCCTACATAAAGTTGTTACCTGTTACAGTCTTGCTTTGTAATGAACATAGATGACTTCAGGGATGGAGATTTAAGATTAACTGTATAAGAGGGGGAAAAAAAGGAGCTTGGAAAACCATCTTAACAAGACCTGACTTCACTTCTTAGATAACTTCTTAGATAATCTCTCTGAGACTGTTTTCTTACGTAAGAGATGCAATAATTATAAAAGTGCTTTCTAAACCATAAAGCTCTTATTAATATTCACAATTGAAAATTTTGGTAGTATTGCACCAGCATTTACTTCTGTAAGCAGAGATTGGACAATTCCTAGACTGTATGTTACTTATACCTAGGCAGTAGTCACTAATATGTTTATTTAAATGTTAAGCTAATTAATCAAATCCATACTCTGGTCATTGGAAAGCATCACATAAGTAGAATATTTTGTCTAAGTATAACATAAATACTGAAACAGCTTTTACTGTTGTCTTCATGTTAGCTGACTTACTTCTCTGTCATTGAATAAAAGTGGACTAAATTGTTCTAACCTGTTTAAAACTGGAGTCTGATGTTGCATTGGCAAACACACTGAAAGCGATCCTGCTTTACTATAGATTAAAAAAAAAAAAAACAGGCATATTCAAACTCTGCAATATTTATCAAAGCCAAGAGAGAATTTGTTTAAAAAAACTAATTCTATACAGATTTTAGGAGACTTTGATTCTTACCATGGAACCTGAATATAGTTTTTTTAAATTTCTCTATTTTCTGTATTGGACACTTAATCATTAGATAATTTTTATTTGTTGTTGTTGTTGTTGTTATTTGCCATCGAGTCGGCCCC